CCCCCCACAACACAAACCCCACCCCCTAACCCTAAACCTAACCCTTAACCTAACCCTAAACCTAACCCTTAACCTAACCCTAAACCTAACCCTTACCTTAACTTGAATCGGCTTGCTTTCAAAGCGCTATTTAAAGCGCCCTTCTTTCTCCGTGCTCGCTGTTGTTGCCCTGTTGATGACGTCAGTGACGCGGTTTAATCGAGCGCGCTTTAGTCGAGCGCGGTTTTGTCGTGCCACGAGATGATAGAGCCAGGTGTACAGACAGATATGGGTAGATATAGTGAGATAGGAAGATGATAGATATGGGTGAAGATAGAAATAGGGAGTTCATGATATAGATGATAGGATCGATGGATAGATACAGGTAAAGAAGGGTGGCAGGAATATCATAGATGATGGACAGACAGACAGACACAGGCTGTAGTAATTTTTAAGCCCCTGTGGATAAGATAGGAGGTCAATAAATTTAATTAGTTAAATGTTAAATTAAGGGAGAAGGAAAAACAATCTGACAGCGATACCATCTCCAACGCCCCCTTTATTTGCTTTCGTAGCAAAGAACTGAAAAAGTTTGGTTCTTAAGTTACACTGAAAGTTTTAAAATCAGAAGCCGATATTAACATTTGTACAGAAGAAAGAAGAAAAGAAAAATTATAAATATTTTCCAAGAATGGTCAAGGCAAAGCAATGGTTGGTGGAACCTGCAACATTATCAATGTTCTTTGGGGCAGAAAGCAGCCAGTCTCTTCCCCATCCTTTTCTGTCTTGAGGGAGAGGGGGAGCTCGTTTTAGTTGTCCCGCTGTCCCCCATTCCTTGGAGTGTGGGACGCCTGCTTTGGGGGAAACACCGTCTGCACCCATTTTTCGATAGCTGTTAAAGCAGGTTCCGTAGCCCATGTGGCTCAATATTCAGCATCATTGGACGGAGGGTGGCCCAAACAGCAGGGGACTCCCAGGGCCCTGAATCAGGGGCCTGGGCATTTCAAGGGTGGGTGGGGGGTACACAACAGAAAAACAACCTTTGGGAAACCGTATCTGGCCATATAAGGAAACCGGGGGGGGAGGAAACAAAATGCCAGATTCCACCGAGAGTCAACCAAGGCTTTCGCATTTAACTGGGGATCCCTGCTTCCCTCCTCCCCAATTTGGCAGGATCAACTGGATCATCTCAAGTCCTACCAACTGTTAGGGGGGGAGGGGGAAGGAATGAGAAACCGGTAGTGTAGGAGACCCCAGCCTTTAGTGGCTTGTCCCAAGTTTACCCGCCATAAAACAGGAGACTAAGGTGAGAGTACGGCCGCGGGGTGAGTGTGCGTATTGAACCGCTGAACCGTCCGTGCTCCCCCCTCCCATCAGCCCCTAAAGCTTTGAGCGGGCGTAAGGAAGCCGGCTGGCGTCACAGTTTTGCTCTCGGCTCAACTGCCCTGCCATCAAGGCGAACCGTAACAGGCGCCCGGTCCCGGTCGGTGGCCCTGGTTGGGGCTGAAAGGAGGCGGGATGAAAAGGCAACCAGTAACCGTTCCGAGTGTCCGGAATCACCGTGTTGCCGGGTCTTCAACAACCCTTAAGCACGGCAAGAGTGTTCCAGAGGCAGCATGGCGTACCTGGGATGGCCGGTCTCTGACCGAGATACCGCCGTCTTGCCGGAACTCCACCAGAAACGAGGAAGTTAGGTCTAGGAGGATGGAGAGGGGGCCACTGTTGCATCCACTCAGGTTTTGTTGAGGGTCCAGAGGGGATCCAGCTTGCTGAGAGGGTCATCACTGGGAAGGGCTCCTCGCAGACCCTCCCCGTTTTGTGGCTGGAGGAAACTCTGCTTGCTCACTTTGTGTCGGCCCTTAAGTGCATTGTCCATGGTAAAGGCCTCCGGGGTGAGCGAAGCCAGGAGCTCCAAGGAGGAAGAGGAGGAGGAGGAGGTAGGCAGGGCCTGTGTAGGCGCCAATGGCTCTACCCTCGGAACACTCTCCACCTTCTCCTCACTTCTCTCTTCTTCCATGGAGCTGCTCTTCTCGACGGTCGAAGCCGCCATTGTCTCGGGCAACGCCGGAGCAGGTGTGACCGGCGGAGAAAACCCCGGAGTGCTCTCCACACAGCCCGGCTCGGGAAAGTTTCGCGGAGTAGCAGCAGATGATGCCGGCAGGAGTGCGGCATCAAAGGGGGGCAGAGAGGGTCCCACCTCCAACCCTCGGCCATTGGGGGGAGGCTCGGCGCCGCCCGGGAGAGGCCGGATACTGAGTTTGGCAATGGTGGCTTGGATGGAGCTGATGGGGACGTCACCCCCCAAGACCAGATCTTGGGGGTCCTGCTGGAGATACACCTGGAAGGAGAGAGTGGGAGGCTGAACAGAGTACACAGTCCTCGACTTTACACTAGTTCACTTAGTGACCGTTCAAAGTTACAGCAGCAATGAAAACGGACATGACCAGTTTTCACACTGTAGCATCTCGACGTTTGGATGCTGGACAACTGGCTTTCATTTCCCCGAGGTCATTCGATTCCCCTTTGGTGACCTTCTAACCATCAAAGTCAATGGAGAAGCCACATCCACTTAACAACCGGGTTACCTATTTAAGGACTTCCATGATTCCCTTAACCTCCATGGTGAGAAGAAGGCATAAAACGGGACACAACTCCCTTAACAAAGTGTTGTTTAGCAACATAAATTTGGGGGCACAGTTGCAGCCGTACGTTGAGGATTGCCTGGAGTGCAAAGGTCAGCAACTAAACCGGGGATGATGGGGTTCCAATCTTGGTCCTTTTAAAGATCTGTGGAATTCAACTCCCAGGATTCCCCACCCAGGAATTCAGGACACACGTGGCTTAAATAAGAGCTTGTTTCTCCCGGGTCCTTCAGCCTGCCTCCCCGCCCGAAGCATCTGCAGGGGTTCAAGGGGCTGCCTCCCCCTACTCCCAAATCCTCCCCTCGCTCCAACCATTAGGCAACCCCTCCCCTTCTCACCTTTTGGGTGCCGCTGCTGGCCGGTTTGCTGGCAGAAGGCGCAGCCATCACGCCGTGTCTCTGCAGCACCTGCACGGCGTGTTTCAGCACCGCCTCGTAGCAAAACCTGAGGTGGACCTGCAAGAGAAGCTGTCCGTCAAGATCCCCAGCGCTGGCCATCTCCGCTATCCTGGAGCCGGGATCCGCCCAACTCCGTACCTTCTCCTGCAGCATGTGTTTCCTCTGCTGACGGATGCGCTTCACCAGCTGAACCAAATCCGGGATGCTGTTGCCGGCTTCCACCTCCTGCATGGCAGCGTAGAGGAGGCAGAAGGCGCCTGTGCGGCCCACGCCGGAGCTGCCAGGAAGGAGACCGAAGATCAGTTCAGAAAAATCTCGCGCATCCATTCTCCAACGGTGCTGAACAATCTGCTAAACCCGTGGGGTGGGGGTGGGGGATTTATGCAAAGGCTGCATTCTGGGATGGGAACCTGTTCTGACACCCCACTCCCCTTGTCCAACACCAAAGAACGCCGAGACAAAGATACTGCAAGGATTTATTAACACATAGACAAGATGTTGGCAGCAATCCAGCCTGCCAAACTAGCCACGAAAGTTCTCCAACTTTAGTGAATACGTTGACTCCTGCAAA